GGTGTCCCAGACTCTTTCCCTAGCCACCCTGCTCAATATACAAAGTGGTCATTGGGACAAGACGCCAAGGCTATGCATGAACCCAGCAACATGGTCTTCCCCCAACGAAGCTTGATCTGGCTACCACCACTGCTGAGTGCTCACCTCCCAATAGCAGAGGATCAAAATGAGCTTCTAATACAGGACCTTCCCAGGAAGGATCAGTTAGTCACTCAGTAGTAAAATGACTACATTAGACAGCTGGTATCATGGAGGGAGATAGTAATTTGTCCTTATATAAAAACAGACACATATTCTAGATTTTCCTTCCCTAACTATAATATACGTGCAAAAAGCCATACATGTCAACATGCTATCCCATACATGCCTCCATGTGTATAGAAAAGTGTGGCAGTGGGCTCTTACACACAAAATTTACTCGTTTTACCTTTTGTCCTATCATCCAGAGCAGCTGACATGATCAACTATTGAAGGCTCAGTTACAGCACCAATTGAGACCTCCAACAGGATGCCATCTTAAACTAGTGGACAATATATCAGGTCATCTCTTCATAGCCAAAATAGATCTGGGAACCAAGGGACAAAAGTTGGAGTGACTATGTTCACCATTCCTTCAAAAAGCCACTGAACAATTTTTGCTTCTTGTCTTCATGACCTCAGGGTCAGTGTGTTTGGAGGTCTTAGTAGCTAAGGGAGGAATGCATCCACCTGGGCACAGAGTCGTGGTTCTATTAAACTGGAAGCTGAGACTTGACCACTTTGGGCTCCTCATGCCACTGAACTAATAGGCAGAGAAATGGGTCACTGTACTGGCTGGAATGACTAGCAGCAGCTGACATTCTACTACACAATAATAGCAAGAATTCCATCTGCAATCCAGGGGATTCACTGGAATGCCTCTTAGGTCCACTTGACCAACAGTCCTAATCAATGGAAAACTGCAACAACTCAATGAAGGCAAAACAAGCAAGTATGTAGATCCTACAGGAATGAACGTCTAGGTCAGACCAAAAGAAATGCTGTCAAAAGGAAAGAGAAAAATGAATGGGTGGAGGAATAAGGAAGCTGTGTATATCAACCCTGACCTTGACACCAGCTAAAGAAAGCAAAGGCTGTAGCAATTAATTTTCACATCCTTTCAACCACTTTTCTTCTACTGTCTTATATGAAAGATACTGGTGATAGCTAATATCTTAGATGGGAATAATGCTGAACTGCCATTTCTTCACACCAATAGATTAGTCCAGGGATCAGCAAACTTTTTCTTAAAGGGCCAGATAGTAAACAGACATAACGGGCCACACAGTTTCTGTCACAGCTATTCCACTTTGCCATTGTAGCTCCAAAGCAACCACAGACAGTGTATAAATAAGTGGCCGTGGCTGTGATCAAATAAAACTTGACTCACAAAAACGGGAAGTTAGCTAATGCCAACGCCTACAACAGCTGATAGGGCTTCATTAAGTTGGGAACACTTTCATCGTAACAAAAGACAAGAGAGGATGATCTGGGGCAAAAGGGGTAGACTGTTCTAGATATTCTCCTTTTGCCCCTCCTAATCTGCCCTCTCTGCTTTACTCTGCACCCCAGGGGTAGCATTAACTAGGCACTAGTCCTCTGGCTGCCTGTTGGGGTGATCAACTGGGAGGCACAAAGAAAAAACTGAAAGCAGAAGAAAATCGAGCTCCGTATACTTATTCCCCCAGGCTCCTCCCTGCCAGGCTGAAGGAGGCAGTAGCTCCACTCTTCTATCAAAGGCCGTAGATCCTGTAAGGTAAGTCTTTCCTACAGATACAGTAGGTTCTTGTAACCTCTCCCTTCCTTTGTTCTTTCAGGTTTAAAAGTGATAACTATTTGTCGTTGCTAACCTAGGGTGCTCCTCCAACTTTTGTTGGTTTCTCTTAACCCTAAGTAGTCCCTTCATTACTTCCCTCAATTAATCTGTAGAATGTGCCTTCTGGGACTCTAGCCCATAGGCCATCTAACCAATCTTTCCAACGGGAGACATAAAAATCATCTACAACTCCTTTCTAGCATTCCTAGTTAAGAGTCATCTGCAATTCCTTTCTGTCTATCATTGTGCCAGGGGTAGAGGATGTGGAAAGGGGAACGTCTGATGAAAAATGGCTCAATCACTTGCTATCTTCATGCCCTTAAGAAATGTACGTATCCTCCATTCTTTCAGCTGCTTTACTTATAAAAATAAGGATTAAAATAGTATCCATCTAAAAAAAAAATAGCATCCACCTCATGGGGTTACTGTGAAGATTAAGTGAGGTCATACAAAACCTTAGAAGATGGTCTTACATGTAGTATGTACGTAATAAATGTTCACTATCAGTCAATCATGTCAACTCTATTTCTATGCCATTTTACTAATGATACCTCCATTCAGGGCTAAATCATTTCTACCCTAGATTATTACAGTAACCTTTTAATGAGACTCTTTAATCCTCATAATTTCCATACCCAATTCATATAACCCAACACACCTAGAGTATCTTTCCATAAAGTATAAGGTAAATAATCATATGTAAGGGATTTTGAAAGAGAAGTTCCTTAAATGAGGATATGGGACTTAATAAACCTTTAAAGATCCTTATAAGTCTAAGATTCTGTGATTCTAATGAAAAGGTTACATTTTAAAATAGCTCATCTTAAGTAAACGAGTTTGAGAGGGAAGTTGATGTCCTCACTCAAAGAAAACCGGCTCTCACTGAGATTTTGATCTAGTTAATACAGATCTCCCTGAAAGAATAAATTATTCGGGTTATCAAGGACTTTTCCTAGAACAGATATATCAACAATCCATACATCTAAACTGGGGCGGGGTGGGCAGTTTACTAGGTTTTAAACACCTTATCTAGAGCTTCAGTGTAAAGCACTGCCACCTCAACAAGGTCAGCCGAGAATCAGAAAACACAAGTGGCCTCTTAACAGCCAAGTTAAAAAGTCAGTGCATGTACCAACCTTAACTTTTTTCATAGAAAAAATCTCGCTATGGACTTATTCCTCTTTCATACACGATTCTAAAATGTTTGGTAATATGGACTTTCATATTCCGCAACAGATTAAAAGAAATAAAACTTTAATCAGGAAACAGGAAGAAAAAGAAAAGGGAGAATTGAGGTGGCAGCCAATACAGCACAGCCATGGCCCTTAGAGTCATATAGACTTTTGAGTTCTAATTATTACCTATTCTCAAAACACAGTTACCTGGACAGAAAAGTTTCTAAGTACTGTAAAGGATGGACTGTTATTGCTTATAACCGCTGAGGATATACTTACCACAACAGATTTTCTCTGGAAGTTTATGTTGTTGATGCAGACGACCTGATGAGTTGTATATTAAAGAATAAAGAAAATATTTCAGTTATTAAATAATGCATAACTCTATCCAAGTACAAACAAGAACTGTGTTCTAGGCAGCTTAGAATCACACTTATCTTTCATGCTAAAATTCTACAAATTATGGTAACTTGCTCATTTTAAATTTAGCAACAGCCACGAAAATATACTTCTTTGGGCAAAAATGCAACTTAGTACTTTAAGAAAAAGGTTTATTAACCTGCAAGAAGCAGTAGATCTGCTGAATTACACTGTCATTCAAACCATTTTCGCCCTACAAACACCATTCCCATCACCGTGAGTGGCTCCCAGTTTCCCACTAGGCCTCCCAGGCCCACGAAATCAGTTTCAAGCAATCACAAAATAATTAATGAAAACCAAACGTAGAAGAAAGGGAGAAGAAAAAATACTTATAATTTATAGGGCCTTGGGCTTTCAAAGCCCTTGTCTCCTTTCTTCCTGTTCATTCTGGCGGGCTCTAAACCAGTCGGCGGCATGAAGGGACCCCGCGGAGCTCGGCTTCCCGGCTTCCCGGGGGGCGGCGGGGCATTATCGGTCTCCGGCACCTGACACTCCCCGCTCCCCCGCGCACCCAAGAGTCACACCCCGCGGCCGGGGCTCCCTCGGCACCCACTCCCGGCCCTGCCCGATCTGCCGCCGCCAACGCCTCCAACTCGCTCCCGCGATTCGGCTCCGTCAGCTGTGTCCGCCGAGCTTCTGTCACGGAGATGCTCCTCACACCAAGCACCGACAGCAACAGCCAGCCGACATCTTGCCGGTAACCTCTGACCTGCGACGCCAGCGGAAGCGGGAGAGCCGTGAGGGCAGGAGTCGGAAGTTACGTGTCAGTGGGCGGGGCTTGCCCGAGTGCCGGAGTTTTTGTTTTCGTCTACTCGTAGACGGACGGCGGGTGAGAACCGTTAAAATTTCGGAAAGCGGCCAGAGATATTTTGTGGGTGAGGCGAACACAGCGAGAAGGAAAGAAGGAAACACTAAATTTTAGAGGACTAAAGATCTAGCGCAAACATATTGAACAGTATGGGGAAAAGGTGTTCGAAGAGCCAGGGGCTGGCGACTAGGAACCCGGGAAATAGGAAACCAGGAGAGGTGTGCCTCTGGTCTGCTGTGTGAAAACACACCATGAATTCACTGGAGCTGTGATTTAGGCTGTAAAATACGTGATTAGACCTCAAGGAGTCTAAATCGAATTCCGAGTCCTCACTAGGCACTGCTGCCTCAGTGTTTATTGAGAAAAACATAAAATTAGTGGATTATATAGATGCAGAATTTATTGAAACACCGGACAAATATTTTAAAGCCATCGTATTTGCATTTTATGCATGAGAATAAAACAGTTGTAAATTCCAGTAACAATTAAATCTTGGTTAACGGTGGATTATGCAGTTAAAAAAAAAATTAACTTCGGACCAGATTTAACCTTGGCCTACCCCTTCCAACTGTCTTGGTGACAAGTTCATTAGCTAAGTTAAAATTTGAACTTTGGTCTAAACGAAAACACACTAGGAAAATAAAGATGTAAAGGAACTTTATCAAGCATTCCAAAACCAGCCAGAGATTACTTGTAGTTCTCAAGTATTACCTGTGTCAGTATCCTTTATTATAGGATTATAAACTACTGTTAGCATTCTTCATTTAGGATTAGTATTGAAATGAGTCTTCTTGAATTATAAACTTTAACACAATTTTGCATGGAAGATGGGGGGGATATTTAGGGAGATAGATGCAGTTGGTTTAAAGAGAGATCACTGCATTAAGGAAAGAATGGGAGACAAAGAAGCAGAGAGGGAGTAGGCAAACTTTCATCCCAGAGTGCATATCTGACATGGGAAGTAGGTGGGTTCCTGGGCTGGACACCTGGTGTCTGTCAAGTGAAGTAAAATTGAAGCTTTGTTTTCCCCCCCATACGCCAAGGGTAAAGCTAGTGGCAGAAGCTGACCTCTGCTGATGTAAAGAGATAAGGTGACCACTCCTGAGGTCAAGAAAATTTCCCTGACTGCACAGGCACAGGAAGGCTCCTTGGAGGTCAAAAAAGAGAGGGGTGCCACCCATGATACATGTGGACACATCCCCAAGCCTCTGCAGTGGAATCCACCTTAGCAAAAAGTTGGGCACGCATGTTAGGGAGTGTCCTAGAACAGGTTAGATGTGGGAAAAGAAACAAGATAATTGGCCAAAGATAAAGACCCAGAAAAACTGTCCTATGTAAGTGATTTAAATCACCTCTTTCCTGTGCTCCTCAGTAGGGAGGACACACACACCCTCTCTGAGTATGTATTTCTGCCTTGCTTCTGTCTTAATCTGTTTCTCTGTGTGCTCTCCCACTTGTGCCATGTCTCTAATAATAAACTTTGTACCTGTTTTTACAGTTTTTGCCTTCTAGAAACATTCTTGCTTTCAAACCGGGCAAGAGCCAGGGGAACTTTGCTTCTCGCCTCTAGCCCCTGGTGGACTAGTGGCTAGGATCCCTGGTTTTCATCCAGGTACCCAGGTTCAATTCCTGGGCAGGGAACTAAGATCTCTCTTTAGAACCGCTCACTGCTGTCTCTCTGAAATCATATCTACATCAGCCAGGTGAACAGGAGCAACTGTCAAGCCAATTTCATCAATATAAACAACTAATTTAGATAAATGATACAGCATCATGTGACTTGCTGTTTGGGTACAAAGTCAAAAGTAGAGGGGAACTGACTTGAGAAATGACATTTAAGTGAATAAATAATTCTCTTCTAGGAAACTATTTAGCTCTCTGAAAACTTTTAAATGTATTAATAATTAGAATGTCAAATCCTAATTAAAGGAATGCAATTTTAAATATAAAAAAAGCAAAACTGTTATTCTATAAATAAACCCACAAAGACTACTAAGAGACACTAAATATAGGAAATAACACTTTCTTCTGTCCTTGTTTTCACTGTGTACATAATACAAATATAACCTGAAAGATATAAAATACCCTATTAACGTTTAAGAAAAAAAAGAGCAGTAGTTTTAAAATGCTTAAGATGAAGAGAAAAACGCCTCAAAAGGGCTTCCCTGGTGGCGCAGTGGTTGAGAGTCCACCTGCCGATGCAGGGGACACGGGTTCGTGCTCCGGTCCAGGAAGATCCCACATGCCGCGGAGCGGCTGGGCCCGTGAGCCATGGCCGCTGAGCCTGTGCGTCCGGAGCCTGTGCTCCGCAACGGGAGAGGCCACAACAGTGACAGGCCCGCGGACTGCCCAAAAAAAAAAAAAAAAAAAATTGCCTCAAAGAATTAGGTTTTTAAAAGTCTGGAATACAAATGCATAAAAAGTTTTCTTATAACCAGCAACTTTACAAAGCAACTTTCGTCGCAAAGACAAGACTGTTGTTCTTTTTAAGAAATGGGTCTTCTTGAGTTATAAACTTTGACACCATTTTGAATCGAAGATCGAGAATATTTAGTGAGTAATGCACCAATGGTTTGCTTCTCTCCACACAAATCTCTGTGGGAACAGTAAAAAAATTAATGAACATCATAAATATTCTAGGGAACATAACACAATTTTCATAGCACTAGCTATTTATATCTCTCTCCCCCAAATCCATCTTTCCAACAAACATAAGCATGTGTATTTGTGGGAGAGATAGGGTAGGGAGATTACTAAGCCATAACTGAACGAGGTACATCACATGTATGTATGATCTCCAACCTGCACGGTAAGAGTAATGTATTATATAACCCCACGTTAGATATAAAGAAACTGAGGTTCAGGGGGTAAAGGATGGAGCCAAGTTTTGCAGCCGGCTCTGTAGGTCTCCGAAGTCTGGGTTTTTTCCATTATATCACACAGGCTTCCAAATCAGACATAAAAGCAATGTGATACAGTGGGGTCTAGACTCAGAGAACCTGGATGCCCGGCTACTTGTGTGAGCTTATCTAGGTTACCTACCCTATCTGAATTTTAGCTTCCTCTTCTGTACCTCAAAGGAGAGAAGACTTTGACTGGAACATCATGAGGGAAGGGAAGATATGGGAGAACCTGAGCTGGAGAAGGGATCAAGGGAAGATCACACAGGGCCTTGAAGAACATGACAGGGAGTTGTAATTTAATTGTACATATAATGGGAAGCCAGTGGAGGGTTTTATTTCATAGAAAAGCATAATGTGATCTAAGTTTTAAATAATGGAGGCAATGAGTTGATGATTATGGAAGCTAGGTAGTAAGTACATGGAGGGTTCCTTATATTTTACTGTTACTTTTGAATGTTTAAAATTTTCCAGAAGTTTAAAAGGGGGGGAGAGGAGAAGGGAGCAAAAACTAAAATAGAGAGACCAATCAGAGGCAGGTATGAGATGATCCATCAGGATTTGCTCAAATTTGAAACGGGGGGCAAGAGAAAAAAAGACAAGGAAGATTTCTAGACTTTTTGCTTGGGTAACTGGATTAATGGTAGTGCTGGTAGCTGAGATGAGGGTGATGGGGTTAGGACAGGGGGAATCAACAGTTCCATTATGAGCATGTTTGAAATTCCGATTAGATATCCAAGCAGAAATTTAGATTAGGTAACTAGATGTAAGAATCTGGAGCTCAGGAAAAAGGTCAAGTATGAAGATAAAATTAGGAAGTCACTGGGCTTACATGAGGGCACCAAAAGAAAAAAGACAAAATGAAGAGAAGATAGCCAATAATAGAATGCTAGAGCACTCCAACATTTAAAGATTGGGAAAACAAGGAGACATCAGCAAGAGATGGAAAAGGAGCTGCCTTGGGGGAGAAGGGAGAAGGCTGGTGTGTTTCACGTAGGAAGTGGTCCACTGTGTCAAATAGTGTTAAGAGGCCAAGTAAACAAGGACAGACAATTGAGCACTGAACGTAAAAAAGATAGATGCCATTGGGTTAAGGATCTGTCATTGGGTTAAGGAAAGGATGGGAGACAAAGAAGCAGAGAGTGAGTACACAAACTTTTAAAGGGAGCTTTCTTGTGAAGCAGAGCAGAGGACGTGGGGTTCCATAGACTGTTATTTTTTTTTAAAGATGAACAGTACTACAGAATACTGTTCACAGCAATACATGTGTTGCTGGCCATAATCCAGTTGGTGGGAGACGTTGATAACACAACACGGAAAGGGACAACTAGAGGATCCTTTTAACAAGGCCAGAGGGGATGGATCTAGTGCAGAAGGAGGGTTGGCCTTAGGAGCAAGGACAGTTCATGCATCACACAGGATGGACGGCAGAGCAAGTGTGTGCACACACAGGAGCCTGGCTGACTAGGCCATGGGAAAGGAGGCAGTTCTTGTCTGCTTCTGTTTTCTCAAGAAATATGGTCGTGGGCTTCGCTGGTGGTAGAGTGGTTAAGAATCTGCCTGCCAATGCAGGGGACACAGGTTCAAGCTCTGGTCTAGGAAGATCCCACATGCCGCGGAGCGACTAAGCCGTGTGCCACAACTACTGAACCTGCGTTCTAGAGCGCGAGCCACAACTACTGAGACCATGTGCCACAACTACTAAAGCCTGTGCGCCTATAGCCCGTGCTCTGCAACTGCAACAAGGGAAGACACCGCAATGAGAAGCCCGTGCGCCGCAATGAAGAGGAGACCCTGATCGCCTCAACTAGAGAAAGCCCATGCGCAGCAATGAAGACCCAATGCAGCCAAAAAAGAAAAAAAGAAAATACGGTCATAAGCTGAGGATGAAGAGGAAACGGGGTATTGCTGGTATGAAAAGAAAAAAAGATGTAAAGTAAGTTCCAATGGTTGAAAAGTTTCATGAGGAAATGGTGCCTTGCCAGGGGCCCTGCTAATTACCACTTAAGTTTTTAAGTGAGACTAGCAAGCCACACTGTGTCATTTCCCTCTAGGAAATTTCAGCTGCCCTGGTGCAGGTACAGAGTAAACAGAAAGTTGGGTTGAATCTTTGCAGATTTTTGCCAATGAGTTATAACAAGACACAGAGATAGGGTGCAAGGAGTAGAGTGGGTACAGTAAGAGTTAGAAAGAC